GGTCCGGTTCTCGAACCCGGCACTATTCATGCCGGTACCGGTATCGGGCCGGGCCGGGCCGGTACCGGGTCACGGGTCGGGCCACGGGCCGGGCCACCCGTGGCCATGTCTACGTGGTGGTGATGTATGTTTCGATGTCTTCCTTAGTACAATAAATATCATATTAATATTAAAATTATTTTTTAAATTAAATAATAGTAACAATAATTATTTAAAATTAAATATACGTATTTACTAGGGTAATTTGAGGTTTTCATGGAAATTAATGAGTTGATTGAGAGTTTTCAAAATAAATCAAGGTTATATTAGTCAATTAGTGTAATTACCAAAGGTTCACATACAACATATGGGTTATATTAATCAAACTATTATGAAATTACCAAGTTAGTTTTTTCATATTTTTGGAATGTCCGAATTTGAAATTATTATTTAAAATAATATTATTTTTGATCCAAACCAAACTACGAAACATGTTTTTTCACCAAATAGGATTCCGAAACGTGCGAGGCTATCACTTAGGCTCAGCGCATTCTGCAATTATATATAGATGGGAAGGGGATGTCCTTTAAAACAAAAGATTACACGTATCATAAGCTTGTACACATTTTAAAAGAAGTAAAAAGAATAATGAGGACATAAATCACTTGTACAAAACTACAAATCATATGTATATATGCCTGACCTTTCCAAGAGCCAACCCCCACTACAAATACAAGAAAAAAAAAACATTATAGACTTCTCCAAATCCCAACTAAGAAAACAACATCACGCTACAAAGAAGCCAAAAAGAAAAAAATAAAAATAACAGTTACAACAGCTTCACTTTAGTCCTGGCTCTTCTCCTCCTCCTACACACAAACTTGAGCACCTCATCAATAACCACGACCGGGGCCGACAATGCGACCACTAGGACCCACTCGTTCAAACCCAACGGCACCACTCCAAACACGTTGGCCAGCAAAGGAACGTACAGCACCAAACAATGCAAACCTAAAGAAACTGACATGGCGACGAGCAGCCAGGGGTTCCTCCACGGCGGCATCCTCACCAAACTGTTGTCCTCCGAGAGGGCATTTACGGAATTCAACATCTCAATTGTCACCAGCACCGACAGGGACAGCGTCATCGCCTTTGCTTTCCCGGCTGTGAAGTAATCGCACGGGCTCGACAAGGCGATCGTGCGGCCGCCGGAGACCCTGAATGGAGACGGGTTGAAATGGGGCCACGAGGGGCAACTGCTCCAATCACGAAGCTGAGATAGGGTCACTAGGGTGTGCCCGTCCTCACCCAAGTTTATCCCCAGGAATGTTGCCCGTGTGTACCACAGGATGAACACGCCAACCGTTGCTATGCCCACATACGACCCGATCACCTGCAAAAAAAATTAAATAAATATATATATTGATTAAGGCTATGTTTGGTAGACAAATAAGCTAGCTTATAACTTATTTGGTTAGCTTATAAGTTTCCTGTATTTAAATAACTTTCGTTTGGTAGGACGAGCTTTTTTAAAAAACTCGAGTTTATCTCATAAGCTTCTTTGAGTAGCTTTTCAGATAAGCTCCTTAAAATTTTTATTTGAACTAGATTATTAAAATTTTTATTTGAACTAGATTATCAACTAATTTTACAAAACACGTGTTTATCATATAAGCTAGTTTTTCAGCTATAAGTCATAAACTACAAGCTATAAGCTAGAAAATCACTTATATCAACTAGTTTTACCAAACATATCCCAAAATTAAGCAGCATTCGGCAAGTGGAAAGAAAAGAGGAACGGACCATGTAGCGGAAGAGAACCCAGGAGTTGATGAGAGCATCGTTGCTTTTGCGGGGCGGTTTTTGCATGATGTCGACATCGGGTGGGTTAAATCCGAGGGCGGTGGCTGGTGGGCCGTCTGTGACCAGATTCACCCACAGGAGCTGCACGGGTATCAAGCATTCTGGTATCCCAAGTGAAGCAGTCAAGAATATTGATATAACCTCACCAATGTTTGACGAGATCATGTATCTGCAAATGAAAATAGAAGAAGAAAATTAAAATATGCCCTCTTCAGAAAAATAAAATATTTATGATTTATTAAGTCTTAAAATGTTTGTTTGGTGATTAAGGCCTATCCTCTTATAGACAACTACTTAGCCAGAATATCACTGATATCAGATAAATTTTATCTTACTAAACAAAAGAAGAAGAAAAAGAAAGAAAATGTTCAAAGCTCGCGACGGAATCTCTAACATTTCATAATATAAGTTATTTACTTAACCTGATAAAAGCTTTCATATTGTTGTATATCGAACGGCCTTCCGCAACAGCTGACACGATCGTGCTGAAATTGTCATCGGCCAAAACCATATCTGATGATTCTTTTGCTACCTGCATATCAAAATAATTGGAAATATTACTTACTTTCGGAAATCAAAGAAGCTAAACACCCAAAACGTGCGGTCATAAACGAGACCACTATTCGGCTAAACTATGATCACACAAATTAACATAACTTCTTCTAAGTTCTAACAAAAGATTACCAAAGATATAAAGATAGTTCTTTTACCTCAGTCCCAGCAATGCCCATAGCTATGCCAATATCAGCAAGTTTCAAAGCAGGTGCATCATTCACACCATCCCCAGTCATGGCAACAATTTCCCCCATATCCTTAAGCATCCTCACAATATCCTGCTTGTGCTTGGGCTCGGCCCGTGAAAACACCTTTCCACCGGGCCTTGACAAAATGCCCATTTGCTTTGCAGAAGGAATAGCCATAAATTCTTTTCCAGTAAAACTCCTCCCTGTAAGATCCTCACCTTCCAAAAACAACCCGATCTCCTTACAGATAGACTCGGCCGTTGATTTATTATCCCCTGTTATCACCATAACATTTATTCCTGCTTTCTTGCAGTCCTCGATCGCGCTGTGAACTTCCTCACGAGGAGGATCCTGTCATTAAAAGTTGTTTACCAAAATAAAATTTAAGCAAATTTTTGAAAGAAGATAAAGTGACGTTGAACAACTAAAAAAGAAAAATGCTTACCCTTATGCCAACTATCCCTACAAAAATTAGGCCACTTTCAATTGAGGAATATGAGGAGGGGTCGAGCAACTTTTTGTGGCCCGGATGATTGTCAGCATAGTAATCTGATAACTCTCCTAGCTCATCCTTATAGGCAAGGCCCAAACACCGCAAGCCCTTTGAGCTCATGTTCAAGAGCCTGGATAACAACAGTTGCCTGCATTGTTCATCGATAGGGATTGTAGATCCATCAGCAAGCTGTATGTGGGAAGTACGCTCGAGCAAACTCTCAACGGCACCCTGCATGAGCATCATTGCTTAACATTTATCTCAAATGACATGAAAATGATTTATATCCAAATTTAAAGATCTGAACATTGAACTTTTTTAGAATATTCGAATGATTATTGAGATAGAAAATATATATGAAAAACTGGAAATCTGTCATCGTATCTATACTCCAAAATATCTTTTCCACTAAATTTTAAAGTTTCTAACATGAACCAAATCAGAAAATGCATGAAAAACAATCAGAAATATAAAAGATATGTTATTCCTGTAATTACACAACTAAAATATAATCTCATTCATTATGCATACCTTGACAAGAAGTCGATTGGACCCATTCGGCTTACGAACAATAACACTCATTGATTTACGGACACGGTCAAACTCTAGTGTCGCCACCCTTTTCGAATTTTTTGACCACCACTCGCAGCATGCTGAAAACAGAACACAAAACTCTAATGCAAAATAAAACACACACACACACACACCCCACAAAGACAACAAATATAATACGACAAAAAGAAACACATAAACTCTCACCCAATTTAACAGTGTTCCGATCAATCAAATGGTTTGCCCAGAACTTCATATACCGAACTCTATCCTTAACCTCATCATCTGGAACCCCCATTTTCTCAACCAAAACCTTCAGAGCAGCCTCTGTAGGCAGTCCAGTCGCCCTAAACAAACGACCATCGCAATACACACCCGCGTCATTACAAACCGCGCAAATCTCGGCCACAGCCCGCAAATTAGCATCCATATTACGGCTGCTCCAATCCACTATGCCTCCATCCCTCGGGTCGTAAGTCGTGCCCTTGACACTAAAAACCCGCGGGACCCCACTCTCATCCGCCAACGAGAACAACTCAGTCACCGCCATCTGATTGGTCGTCAAAGTCCCCGTCTTGTCCGAACATATCACTGTCGTGCACCCTAAGGTCTCCACGCTCGGAAGCTTCCGGACAATCGCGTTCTTCCGTGCCATCCTCTTCGTCCCCAGAGCCAGACACGTCGTGATGACAGCCGGCAGCCCCTCAGGAATAGCAGCAACTGCGAGGGCAACTGCTATTTTGAAATAGTAAGTGCACTTGTCAAACAAGAACTGGAAATTCGATGGCCGCCCGTTCACGACCTCCCATGTTAGAAAATACTTATAGTTGATGACCCACACAGCAAGACAAATGAAGCCTATCGCAGTTGTGAGCCTGTTGCCAAACTCATCGAGCTTCCTTTTCAACGGGGTCTCATTCTCCTCCAGAGATGCCTCATGTATCTGTGTCTGTATCTTCCCAATTTCCGTGTGCATGCCGATGCCCGTCACTATACAGACACAGCTGCCATTGACCACAGTTGTGCCTGCAAAAACCATGTTATCCTTAGACTGCAGTTCACATTCATCAGGGAATATATTCGCAGGGGCCTTCAGCACGGGCATGGCCTCGCCGGTCAGCGAGCTCTGCTCCACTCTGAAAGTCGAGGTCTTCAACGTGACCACACGCATGTCGGCCGGGATTTTATCCCCCACACGCAGCTCCACAATATCTCCCGGGACGAGCTCACGCGTGGGCATATCAGGCACGAGATACCCGTCCCTCAGAACCTTACATGACTCGCACTGCAGGTCCTTTAAGGCCTCGAGGGCTTTTTCGGCGTTGCCTTCTTGCCAAACTCCGACTATGGCGTTTAGGATTAGAATCGAGAGTATCACGAATGGCTCGACATATGATTCGAGGCCAGGCTCGCTTTCCTGTAAATACACGAGGATAAACGAAATGAGGGCGGCTAGCAACAGAATTTTGACGAGCGTGTCATTGAATTGTTCGAGGACAAGTTTCCATAATGGGTTTTTCGCTTCTTTCTGGAGCTCGTTCGAGCCGTGCGCCTGCCGGCGGTCTTTGACCTTGTGGGCGCTAAGGCCTTTGTCGAGTTCGACTTTGTACTCTTTCAGACACTGGGAAACGGACTGTGACCATGGCTTGAATTGGTTCTCTTTAAATTCTTCTTCCATCTGGGAATGATGACTCTGCCTAGAGGCAACTTATCTGGAATGCATTTCAAATTCCTACAGCCATAATAAAAATTGATACAAAATTAGAAAAAAAATAAAATAAAATAAAATAACTGCAACTGGGATTTGGATTGCAGTTGGGCTAGATCAATTGATGCATATAATTATTAAAAAAAAAGGGCAATCACGATCAATCTGCATCAAATGAAAACAATAAATGTGGCCTTATCAACTTACAAATATTTTATCACAGCCCCAACTAACTCTAGCAGAAAAGTAACAAAACCCATTAAAGCAGAAATGCTACTCAACAAAATCACAGCAAAAATACACAGAAATCACAGTAAACATTTCAAGAACTCCCAAAGAGTGAAAAAGAAGAAGGCAACTAATGAAGAAAGAAAATTTAAGCTGCATCTGAATTGAAATCGACTTACAGTATGAAAACTGAAGAGCCCACGAGAAAAATATTCAATGAAAAGCCGAGATTATAAATAAATAAAACAGGAATGAGGAAAAGTCGATGGCTTTGGGACAACGCAACATAGAATTTCGGAGTTTACCTAATTATTAATAAGACAATGAAAAAGGAAGAAGAAGAAGAAGATTGAGAAGCCTTGCAGAAGAAGTTGGTCAGATATGCTTTTGTTCCAAACGGATTCAAATGGGTATAAATTATGGTAAGTTGGTTCAAAAGAGTGGTTACAAAGAAATAAAAAAAAAAGCAGTTTATTCAAAAATTTTGATCCCTGCCCACGGTGGGCAGTGCCCACCACTTTGTTTTATATGAAAAACGTATTCTGAGAATACGTTTTTTAATTAATTTAATTGAAAAACGTATTCTCATAATACGTTTTTCATGTAAAATAAAGTGGTGGGCACTGCCCACCGTGGGCAGGTGAGCGGGACTTGTTTATTCAATACGGTTTTGTTGTGGTATCATCGGATGACTTGGCTTATGGAGTCATCCTCCCTATATATAATTCCAGAATGCGCTGAGCCTACGTGGCTGCTTCTGGTGCTTCGTAATCCTACTTGGCGAAGAATCATGTTTCGTAAATAGGTTTGGACAAATAATATTGATATATTAATAAATAATAAAATAATTTAGGTTTGGACATTCCATAAATATTATTTAGCTAACTTAGATATTTTAATATCAATTGTACTAATATAACCATTTAAATTCTTTGTATTTTATATAGTGAGGCACTAAGTGACTAATGTATCCCTGATTTTTGATTTGTTTCCTCCAATTAGCTATTGAATTGTAAATGTACTCTAAAAGTTGATAACTTTTGTATTTCTTATCGGTTTTACATATATAATATATCAAATTAATCATCTTTTGATGATCTTCGATTTGACATCCATATTGTATATATGAAATAAATAAATTATATTTATTATTATAATAATAATATTTATTAAAATTCATTAGAAAAATAAAATTATTTCTAAATTGATATATTTATGTTTAATGTAGTTATTTGTTGTAAGTTACAAAACTTATTACAGTATAACACATGTAAGTAGCACAAACAAAAAGTGTCATACTAACTATATAATAATATATATATTTTTCTAAAAGGTATTTAGATTTTCCACTAATTTTTTTATTAATTTTATATTTAAAAAAAAAAAATAGCACACACCCGTGTAATACACGGGCGTTGTACTAGTTTATTGTTATTCACAAATGATGTATTGACACGTGTCATTCAATAAATGCACGCTTGGACATATGTTAGAAACGCTACTACTTTATTAGTATTATTGTTTGACCAAGTCTAGTCTTTTAAATTCAAAGAGCACACTCCCTGAGACGGACCGTACTATTTTTTAACTTAATGGATTTACATTTACTACCACGGACCTTTTTTTTTCCGAAACGATAGGGGAACTATTATAAATTAAAAGCGCACAAATGTGTGAATAAAGATACAAAGCTCCCAACGGGAGAATAAAGTAGGAGGACAGGTCAGAAGACCGCCTAGAATCCCGCTAGCAAAGCTAGAATAAAACTCACTACTAAACTAACCAACCAACAAACACAACAAAACACAACTAAAAAGACCCCAAAAGGGTAATACCCGAGTATCGGATCCCCAATATTATCAATATAATTAAATAATATCAAATCAATCATTCTTACACACCACATCACCTTAATTCACTATTCATCAACTCACATAATTTTAACTAATTATCACTTAAAATCTTCTCTCTCATACTTTACATCAAATCAACTTTACATCAAATCAATTTTAATCATCCCACTAACAACTAATCATACTAATCTTTTCAAAACTAACCAAACCAAACAAAAAAATTCAAACAAAACTAAAATTTGTTATATCCAATCATCCTCTTAGTTTCTTCTTTAACACTTTGATTTTTGAAATAATTGTTTACACCTATTTGTATCTATGTGTAGCATAAATTGTCTCAAACATATATCTCTTATATATATATATAT